ATAGAAATGAATGGACCGAAGGTCGTTTTGATAGAAATGAATGGACCGAAGGTCGTTTTGACATGAATGAGTGGGCCGAAGGCCGTTTTGACACAAATGAATGTACCTAAGGTCGTTATGACATGAATGTATGGGCCGAAGGCCGTTTTGACATAAATGAATGGACCTAAGGTCGTTATGACACGAATGTATGGGCCGAAGGCCGTTTTGACATAAATGAATGGGCCGAAGGCCGTTCTGACATAGATGAATGGGCCAAAGGCCATTTTGACTTGAATGGAAATCTAATTGGGCCAAAGGCTAGTATGTTTGGGACTACAGTCATTTGATCTGAATTTTGTATAAGTGTATATATGTTAAGTAGAAATATGCATTGGGCCCAAGGCCGTTCGGAGCATGTTGTTCTTCATATTGGTTATGTAATTTATGTATTCGACATTATTCACTGGGCTATCGGTCACGCTCATTCATGTGTTTGTAGGTGAGCCGAGGGAAGTCCAAACCCAGCCCCAGTGAAGTCTGCCAGGAACAACATGAGAATTTGGAGAGTCAGCCTTGTGTCTCACGTACGAGACCCATCCTTGCCATTTTGTTATGCATTTATAGTTTGTCGTGTTGGCAAGGACTTTGTGTACATTTGTATATAGTTTTGATATGGGTTGACTCAGTTTGGATGATCCTGTCTGTAAAGGATTTTGTGATACTGTACTTGTTGTGGGTTATTATATGAGTATGGTTTGTTTTGTAGTGCATATAAGCACGGCTCTATGGACAAAGTTTTTGATTATTGCTTCCGTTTGGCCCCTTTACTCTGTCGAGTTATGTCTAATTTGGTTTGAGGCTGTAGGTTATCTCAGGATTACAGGTCGGTTACGTCCTTAACCCATAGGGGCGGGTTCGGGTCGTGACACCGGCCGTCAAATCTATGCGAGTATGGCACATCAAGAAATGTCTCGACCTCTGGCTCGGGGGCGAGTGTCGAGAAATAGGTGCATACCCACAGCAGTAAAAGGCAAGACAGTGGTAATCAGAATACAGAATATACAGAAAATGCAAAATGAAGAGTGCAGAATGCGGAGTACAGAATGTAATATGTGCAATGTGTGAAGTGTGCAGTGTACAGGTAATGAAAAGCAGAAATGTAAATCAAAAGGGCAGAATGTTCCTCCCAGGCTCTCCAATAGCCGCCTACTATGTTCCCACTCATGCGGGAGGTCGAGCTCATATAGCAATAAAGGGTAGCAAGGCCAGCGCCGCCTCAATCAAAGTGCCAAACCTGTGATAGGTTCACTAGAGCACTCAGAAGATGTAGCTCGGCCGTGTTCCCCCTATCGGAGAACGATGTGCTCCCAAGAAGGAACATCAAGAATCCCCAGGCGTACTGCTCTGTGGCCTCAACAGTCTTAGGCACAGTCCCTCTGTATTGCTCTGTGAACCAGGTGTATCTGACTGTGCCCGATGATCGGTAGATTGGCAGATGAGCTCCAAGTAGATAGGTCCATGTTGCCTCCCACTCACCCATATTAGATTCATATGGGATCGGCCAGCCTTCCACCTCGAGGCCCGTCAGCATTGCAAAGTTCTACGAGGTCATCGTCATGTCCCCGGTAGCTGAGAAATGAAAGGAGTTGGTGGTGTCCCACCATCTCTCTATTAGTGCACCCATGAGGGTCTTACCTGCCACAAGACGTGACAACCCCATGCAAAATAGCCCGAACCCTGCCTCATCAACAATCTGTCGAACACCGTCCGTGTGATACCCCTGTTCCATAATGTGTTAATTAGTCCTTAAAATGAGTATGATTATGCGTTTTGCATAATTTTGTGTGTCATTATGTGAAAATATGTGGTCTTAAATTTCTATCTGTTCGCCGTAGGAATATCTGTTTGAATAATCTGCTTTGGAAATTAAATTGAAGGCCTTATCGGCCACAGAACCCGAAATTGATTTCGCCATTATGATTGGTATAATTTTTAGAGCCTACAGTGAAATTTAATTGAAAAATTGATTCGGACCAGATTAAGCTGAGTTAAGTGTTGAATTGGTGCCCAATTATTTTATTCTTATTATATTGATTTGGGATTTGTTGTGTTTTAACATGACACCTCATTTCTCTCCCTTAGATGATTTAGGCTGATCAAACTCTAAGAAAAAAAAAGAGAGGGCCGGCTGTTAGAGAGAGAGGGAGAGAATTTGGGTGATTTTGGCTCAAGATTTGGAGAACTTCAAGATTAAGCCCAAGATTTTGTTATAGTTTGGGAGATTGAACTCTTGGGTAAGTAAATTCATGGATTTTAGTTTGTAAATTATAAATTCAAGATTTATTAATGGCCAAGAACATGAGTTAGCTGATTATAAGAAAATTGAATTGGTTTTGTTGAATTGAAGGCCATTAAGTGCATGCATGTGTTCAATTGTCATGAAATTGTATAGTTATGTATGAAAAATATGAGTCATGTGGAATTTTGGTTAGAACTCATGCTTGTGGTCATCATTTGCACCATCTAGATGAAGAATGGAGGTTATATCCCACATACATGTACAAATCACAAGAGTATGACCTTGAATGTATGAAATTATTATGTTGGAAGTAAGCTTGGTGTAAATTTGAGACATGCATGTAGATAATTTATGAAATTGAGCTTCAATATGTGGTAATTTGATGCTTGTACCATGTTAGTACATGTCTAGGAGTAATTTGAGCCATAACATGCATGAATTGTTGGTTGAAAGTCGAAATGAAAATCAAGAACACAGTTCTGGGTTTTCCAGAATTTTGAGATCCGCTCGAGCGGGGAACCTAACGCTCGAGCAAGAAATGCGTGCTCCCAGTACTTTTTACAGACTTGATGTCTGCTCGAGCGGGGTAATTAACGCTCGAGCGTGCGAGCTATTTTGACAGGCCTTCCACTCGAGCGTCCTATTTTACACTCGAGCGTATTTTTGATGCAACCAGCACTTTTGCAGGCCTATAGGGTCCGCTCGAGCGGGAAAGTCCACGCTCGAGCGGGGGACCTGTTTTCTGAAATTTTGTTCATGCGTTTTGTGTTTTGTTTTCCGTTCTCTTTCACTTGTAAGCACTCTTAGGCATATGTTAAGCATTGTAAATGAGTTAATGAGATAAGAATAAAGCCTAAAGAGGAATATGCGAATTCAGGAACGGATTGAATTGTTAATGACCCTTTTGTGTTCATGGAATGTGTAGGATCAAGCTCCAGGGCGAATCCACAAGCCGATCACTGTGAGTAATATCGATATTTGAAAGCTTAGCAATGTCCAACTGTTTATTCCCTTATAAGTTTTATGAGTTGGTAATTGGGATTGTGGACAAAAGTCGGACATGAACGAATGAATGGACCGAAGGTCATTTCGATAGAAATGATTAGGCCGAAGGCCGTTTTGACATGAATGATTGGGTCGAAGGCCGTTTTGATAGAAATGAATGGGTCGAAGGCCGTTTTGACATAAATGATTGGGCCGAAGGCTGTTTTGATAGAAATGAGTGGACCGAAGGTCGTTTTGACATATACGAATGGACCTAAGGTCGTTTTGACATGAATGATTGGGCCAAAGGCCGTTTTGACAAAAGTGATTGGGCCAAAGGCCTTTTTGACCCAAATGAATTGACCGAAGGTCGTTTGACATAAATGAATGGACCGAAGGTCGTTTTGGCACAAATGAATAGACCGAAGGTCGTTTTGACATAAATGAATGGACCGAAGGTCGTTTTGACAAGACATGGATGAATGGGCCACAGGCCGTTTCGACACGAAAGTGTAAATAGGCCTAAGGGCCAGTTTGATATAAAAGTTTGAAAAGGCTAAAGGCCAGTTTGACACGAGTAATAGTTTGACAATGAAACGAATGAATTGGGCCCGAGGCCGTATGATGTGTTTGGAACCTCAGCTGCTTAACTTACATGTGTCTATGTATGTATATAATAGTTAAAATGTAAATTGGGCCCAAGGCCGTTTGATGTACATTGTTCTAATATATTTTCTTTATTTGATATTATTCACTAGGCTATCGCTCACACTCATTCATGTGTTTGTAGGTGAGCCAAGAGAAGCCCAGACCCAGCCTCAGTGATGTCTGTACAGAACAACTAAGGTTTTGAAAGAGTCAGCCCTTGTGTCTCACGCATGAGACCCGTCTTCGCCCTTTTTGTCATGTATTTACACTTTGTCAGGTTGGCGAAGTTTTGAATACATTTGTATGTAGTTTTGCTTGGCTGACTCAGATTTGAATGATCCTGTCTGTATAGTACTTATGTTACTATACTTCCTGTTGTAAGTTATTAACATATGTATGTCTGGAATGTTATGATGTGCATATAAGCACGACTCTATGGACAAAGTTTTAAAATTGCTTCCGTTTGGCCCCTTTTACTCTAATGAGTTTTGTCTTATTTGGTTTGAGGCCGTAGGTAATCTCGTGATTATTGGCCGGTTATGGCCTTAACCTAGAGGGGCGGGTTCGGGTCCTGACAGTCCGGGAGCTCCATATACCAATCCCTCGCAATGATCGATCCATATCCCCGAGTGGGACGGGAAGCTACCTATGTTTAGAATGAGCAAAAATGAAGCATGCGAGTTGTGTTAAGAATGAGCAGAAATGCAGTATGTGAGTTGTGTTCAGAATGAGTAGAAATGCAGCATGTGAGTTGTGTTCAGAATGAGCAGAAATACAGCATGTGAGTTGTGTTCAGAATGAGCAAAAATGCAGCATATGAGTTATTACAATATGTGCATTGTGTTCAGAATGAGCAGAGACGCAGTGTGTGAGCTGTGTTCAGAATGAGCGGAAGCATTGTGTATGTAAATGTGTTCAGAACAAGCAGACGAAATATGGAGCAAAAGCATGAATTGTGCAAGAAATGTAAAGTGCATCGCAGGAAATGTGAGAGTGCAGTATGTACCTCGGGCGCGTGGTGAGATAGGTGAGACTCTGGCTCCCGCAATAGAAGATCTACTGGAGCGCGCCGTGCAAACTTGGTAAAATGACGAGCTATGCTGGGTGGCAGAATATGTACCTCAGGACGGTACGTCGTAGGATCGAAGGGCCAAGTCCTAGGTGGCAGCGGAATGATGTCGGGCTCCTCCCCCATCCCCGGAGAACCCTCATCGTATGGAGCATCGTCAGCCATCTGAAAAAAAAGTAAAAAATGAGCAAAATGGGCAAAAAGTGCCAAAAGTCAACTCTCGGAAGGAGAAAAAAAAGTCAAAAAGTCAAAGCCCAGGAAAAGGACGCCAAACTCAAGACAAACTTGGGGGAAACATACCTCAAATGCTGAAAATGGCAGAAAAGAGTCCGAAAACAAGATTTGTTCGATTCAAAGTGAAGGAAACCGAAGAGTTTTCATGAATCAACTTCGCATGGAGCGTTGGAAAAAGCGTGTAAAGCCCAGATCTAAGAGGAAAAGAGGTCTAGGGAGGTAAAGGAATGATTTTCGGCCTTGGATGTGTGAGCATTTGTGCTTTGGAGTTGTGGTTTTAAAGACCCGAGCCTTGAAAGACCAAACTGCCTCGGATTTTCCTAAACTGGTCGACCGGTGATTTTGGTGGTCGGCAACTCTTCAGGATGGTCGGCAGGCTCCCAATGTTGTCCCTATGTTTTTGTATGTTGATTGAAGTACTTGGTCCTCCAGAAAGTCCCAGAATAGTTCATTTTTTGGCAAAAAAACCCCCGCGGGAATTTAAAATCACGTCTCCGATGCGTGACTCATCGTCAAGTCTTCATGAGCGAAGTGTATCCTTTTTGAATGCGTTGTCACCCCTCTGAGAGGTAAATCGGAGGTTGTATTTGAATCGGCTTTGTGAAGGCATGTTTTCTTCATTCGGTGTTTTGCATTAAATGTACACTTCTTTCTTGATTATATCACACTTTTGCTTCGCATAAGATATGCATGTCTCTACTTGCATTATTATGCACGTTTCCCTTGCATTGTTATGCATGTTCCCCTTGCATTGTTATGCATGTTTCCCTCGCATTGTTATGCACTGTCCTACTTACATTGTTATGCACCGTTTCACTTGCATTATTATGCACGTCTCCCATGCATTTGTTATGCATCCTTTCATTTGCGCATGGTATATGAACGCATTATCTCAAATTGAAATTATATCTTGATGTAACATTGAACATGTGTTTTTACTATCTTATACCTGTCAAAGTTTCTCTTTTGTGCAGGCACGATATTGTATGTACGGTTCATTCGAAGCTGATGTAACCAGACAATATTGTATGTATGGTTCATTCAGAGGTATTCCAGGTAAGATCTTTCCTGTCCTTTGAGGTCACCTCGTTGGTTAGAGACATTCGGGTACGCCCAATGTCTACACCGACATCTTCCTTTCCCTCTCTCGCGTGTGATACGCTGAGAGGTACTGTCTTTTCCTCTCTCGCGTGTGATACGCTGAGAGGTGTTTCCTTTCCCTCTCTCACGTGTGATACGCTGAGAGGTGTTGTCCTTCCCTCTCTCATGTGTGATACATTGAGAGGTGTTTCCTTTCCCTCTTTCGCATGTGATAAACTGAGAGGTGTTTCCTTTCCCTCTCTCGCGTGTGATACGCTGAAAGGTGTTGTTTTTCCCTCTCTCACGTGTGATACACTAAGAGGTGTTTCCTTTCCCTCTCTGGCGTGTGATACGCTGAGAGGTGCTGTCTTTCCCTCTCTCATCTGTGATACGCTGAGAGGTGTTTCCTTTCCCTCTTTCGCGTGTGATACACTAAGAGGTGCTTCCTTTCCCTCTCTTGCATGTGATACGCTGAGAGATGTTTCCTTTCCCTCTCTCACGTGTGATACGCTAAGAGGTGTTTCTTTTCCCTCTCTCGCGTGTGATACGCTGAGAGGTGCTATCTTTCCCTCTCTCGCGTGTGATACGCTGAGAGGTGTTTCCTTTCCCTCTCTCGCGTGTGATATGCTGAGAGGTGCTTTGTCCTCCTCTCTCTCACGTGTGATACACTGAGAGGTGTTGTCTTTCCCTCTCTCGCGTGCGATACGCTGAGAGATGTTTCGTTTGAGACTCCGGGTATCCCCGATAGTCACTTTTGGCCTTTCCCGCGTGACGCGTGATGGGAATTGTATAATCTTCTTACATCCTTTCTGTTGGAATGTGTGAGACAGTTGTGTCTTATTCGCTTGCTTAAAATGTTGCATTTATCATGCCTGGTATTTGCATTCAAATGTTTCATAGCTTTCTTTTTATGATCATAAGTTATACTCTTGCATCGTGCATGTTCATTTACATTTTTCCCCGGCCTGCGGGCATATCTATTTGTCATCTTGCCTATTTGTCTAAGTCTTCGGCCTTGTCAAAAATGGGTCGTCTCTGGGCTTTGACATTCACTCCCGTCATTTCATGATTTTCGAGTTCTGTCAAAGAGGGGCAACTGTAGACACCCCATTTTAGACCGTCCTAAAGACTTGGACGTCATCGTTTGAGTGCTCGATGATTGCGCTTGTTTGCGCTCATTTGGAGTCCCTGAGGTTTTTGACTGCGCGCTTTGCCCCTGAGTCTCTGAGCTCTTTTGGTTTTGTGCTTGTTTTAAGCCAAACCTTGGTGCCCCCTTTTGCCTGAGGGAGAAGTAGAGGTATAGACCACCTTTCTCCCCTGCCAGCCAGTTTTCTCCCATGTAGACCACTTGTGGTGGTCGGTCAGCTAGGGTGGGTGGTCGGTAGCCTGCCACCACCTTCTTCTCTTTGTGTAGACCACATTTCCCCCTCTATCGACTAGCTTTTGTCCCTGTCGACCACTTTGGATGGTCGGTCGACTAGGTGAGGTGGTCGATTGACCACTTTAACTGGTCAGCAGCCTTTCTGCATTTTCTGCAGATATTTTTGGTGACAGCTGTGCCAACTGTTAGGCACAGAATGCATCCTCCCTACACAGAGAGGGATTTGAGCAAGCTTTGGCTTGCATATTCTATGTAAGGGGAGGTGGCTCTCCTTTCTCAAGGGTTCAGAAATTGAGAGCAAATTTCTCCCTCCCTCTCTCTAGAATCCTCTTTCTCTTCCCTTTTAGTGCTTGAAAGTGAGCTTTTTGCATACTTTTGCAAAGAGACTCCTACCCAAACACCACCATCATTGAACTGAGGTTCTTGGAGGCCATATTTGAGCTTTGAAAGTTAGTTTTAGCTCAAGAAAGTTGTTGTTTTTGTTGTGCTTCAAGGGTGAGTCCTATGCCCTCTTTAAAGCTTTGTTTTGGTTGCATATTTTCCCACATTTGCATGCTATTTTAGGCTTTGCTTTCAATTACAAAAACCTTTTTTTTAAAGTGTTTAAAAAGGTTGTTTGAGGCTTTGTTTGAGTTATGGGTGTCTCTCACTCTTTTGTGCTTTATTTGCTTAGCTTCTTGTTATCTTTTAAAAGCTTTTGGGACCATCTCTTTTTGGCCTTCTTACCACTGAAACTCAGAAGAATTTCAGTGGTGGAAAGGTGGTTTGGAGGTCCCAAATGGGTGGGGGTGGTTCCCCTTCCTCTTCTCTTATTCAACCATGTAAGTTGAACAAAGAGATTGAACAACCTATTCTCCTACCTCAAGAAGAAGAAGGAAACAATGATGATTTGCCAAGAGAACGGAAGTTTGTTCATAATCATCATAAGGATTTAATCCTAGGTGACATGCAAAACGTATTGAAACTCGCTCTTCACTTTGAAACATTTGTAGTAACTTGGCTTTTCTCTCACAAATTGAACCTAAAAACTTTCAAGAATCCGAATTCAATAAACATTGGATGATAGCTATACATGAAGAGCTTAACCAATTTGAGAGAAACAAAGTGTGGCCAAAACTTAAAGATCATACCATTATCGGTACCAAATGGATCTTTCGAAACAAGCTTGATGAATCCGGCACAATTATAAGAAACAAGCCTAGACTTGTTGCACAAGGATACAATCAAGAAAAAGGTATTGATTTCGATGAAACATTTGCTTCGGTTGCTAGATTAGGAGCCATTCATATGTTACTTGCATTTGCATGTTTTAGAGATTTCAAACTTTATCAAATGGATGTAAAAAATGTCTTTCTTAATGGTTTTATAAAAGAGGAAGTTTATGTTAAACAACTCCCAAGTTTTGAAGATCATGCTTTTCCAAATCATGTTTTTAAACTATCAAAAGCTTTATATGGTTTGAAACAAGCACCTTGTGCATGGTATGAACGATTAAGTAAATTTTTGATTGAAAATAATTTTTCTAGAGGAATGATTGACACAACACTTTTTGTTAAAACTAAAAATGATGATTTACTTATTGTGCAAATATATGTGGATGACATTATATTTGGTGCTACTAATGAAACCTTGTGTAAGGAATTTGCTAAGTGTATGCAAGGTGAGTTTGAGATGAGCATGATG